ATAATATATATATATATATATATATATATATATATATATATATATATATATATATATATATATGTGAAGTGATTGATGTACGAGGAAGCGTCAACGCCAAAATAGAGTGTGTTGTTTTTGCCGAATTCAGAAGGGTTTGAAAAGGAAACTGGAAACTGGAAACAGATGAGTGGGAGACTAAATTACCAAAGGGCGCTATGAATAAAGGTAAATGAACATGGTCCCTCGCCGACCTTTCCCTTTTTTATTTATTTATTTATTTAATACATTAGGGTTCATATACTTTTTAATACATTCTCTTTGCTAACTCTTCTTCTTTCTTCTTCTTCTTCTTCTATCACTACATACTTACATCTTGTTGAGTCAAGTGGAGAATCAAATGCCATGATCGTTTTGGTTTAATTTGTTAATTGTTTCTTGGGAAATGGGAATTTCGAATGAAACGAGACGAACTGGGTCATTGTAACAATCACTGATTTACGAACTGGGTCGTTGATATTGTTATTTTTGGGTTTTCCCACGCCCTTATAAAGAATGTTTCGTTAGAGTCAAGCATTGAGCGATGTGTCAGTGAACAAGCTGAGCCTTGAAGGGGTGGATACGAGGTGGTGTGTCAACAAGGATGCTGAGCCCTGAAGGAGGTGGATTGGGGGATCCCACATTGATTGGAGAAGGGAATGAGTGTCAGCGAAGACACTAAGCCCTAAAATAGGTGGATTGTGAGATCCCATATCGATTGTGGAGGAGAGCAAAAGATTGTTTATAAGGGCGTGGAAACCTCTCTACAATAAGCAAGCTACCGACATTCGGATGGGGTTGGATTTCCCACGAAAAGCATTAGTTTTCATAAATCAAGTGTGATCCACGAGGAGATTAATGGGTTTAAAACAAGGGTATGGGTATTGGGTTTTATGCATGGGGGAGAGAGGGAGGGGTTTTAATGGTGGCCCTAAACCAAGAAAACGACGGCATTCAAATAATTCAAAGCCAAAGGAAACAAATAGAAAAGAAAAGAAAAGAAAAGAAAAGAAAATGAAAGAAAAGAAGAGGAGGATATATGGATGATGCGAAGGTAGGTTAAGTTACGAAGAGGGAGGGTGGGGTGGTCCTTGAAAGGGGTCCACGTGGCACGGTAGGCAAGGGGTGGTCATAGCCACATGGGCATTTGTGGTCCTAACAGGACATATTGACCTTTATTCAAAGACAAAAACTCAACATCTGCTTTACAAGACAGAGAGAGAGAAACACGACAGCCTGTTCGCCAAAAGAAAGACCTTTTTTTATTTATTTTTATTTAAATTCTTTTTTAGAGGGCAAAAGGAAGTGGGCTGGGAGTGTATTGCAGCCTTGATGTGGGGGTGGGTCCAGAATAAAGAAGAAGCCTTTTTGTATGGGCCTATTATTTGGGCCTTGGCCCACTAATTGCCATGACTTGTTCCATACAAACTTTAAAGGAGAAATGGGTCCCTTGTTGTTGTTATGGTGGGTTTAAAAAACTGGGAAAGTGTGTCAAATTAAATCAACTTGGTAGGCCCTGTCTCTGTCAATCTTTACATAATCTCGGAAGGCTCTTTCCCTTTCTGGCGTTCGGCACAACTTGTTAATGAATGCTAGCTTGATGAGATAGGTCATATTGTGAAGGCTCACCACGTTGGCTCGCCCATGCTCGTACGCATGAGTCATATGTAGAGAAATACTATACATTCGACTTTGCTTGATTTAGAAAGCTTCTTAAGGCCATGTTATGATGTTTTCAAATGATAGAATCCCTTCATGTTACATGTGTGCATTTTCCAACTCCAACTGTGAGGTTATTTACTGAGTATTTATTCATAAAATACTCAAGTCATGATTCGCATTCTCCTGGTAGTGGGATAACGATTGTGCGACATTTGTTCTAACCCAGCAAACAAGTCAGCCATGAGAAATTTGTAGCGGACAAAGTCAGTGTTAGAGGCTAATAACGAGTAGGCAACAACAACGAATTTGATAGCATATAACTCGGTAGGAAGAAGTGACAACTACTCATATCCACTTTAGTACATTTTGGGGCATTTTAGCCTTAACGGGTGTAGACAGATTTTGGTGAATGGTCATACACCTTCATATTGACACAACATGAAATAGTAAAGGTCTATCTAAGATAAAAGTATGTAAATGGGGTTTGGAACGTGCATGCAACTATGGACAACATGTCCTGGACTAGCATAACCGAGACATTCTGCATGCTGTCATAGATAACATGCCTTGGACAAGCATGATCGTGACATCTTCCCTCATTCAATTGGTTGACGTCTCTGTCAATCGGCTCTTCATGAACTCAGCTATGTAGGTTGAGGTTGACTATATGTCTCTCAACACCCTTCGACCTAATCTTAGCATTGAAGAGTCTCTTCCAATCTGCAAGGAACTATTGGAAATCACTTATCTGTTTGTTAACACTTGGCACCTTCTTTGTTGGAGTCTCTACTACTTTCTTCGCTTGAAAATTTTTCTTCTTTGCATGAGGTCGTGTTGCCTCTTTGTGCTTGACATCTTCTTGGTTGGGATAGTAACGCTTCAAGTTACTAACGTGGACAACAAGACTAGTCCGCATCCATGGGAGTAATTTGATTTTATATGATGCCTTCTCGACCTTGTGGATAACTTCGACTAGTTCATAGAATTTTCGCACTTGTCTTTGATTCTTGTTCTTTTGACCTTAGAGTTCACCTCAATTTGATCAAAACTCTCTCTCCATCTTGAAATTATTGTGGTTGACGCTTTTAACGACCATTCTCTTCATCCGTTTGGATGATATTTTTGTGTGAACATGTGTTGCTTTAGAGGGTTTGTCTCTGTCTCCCTTCTTTGGTGGAGGTGTTGGCTTGGTGTTTCTCCCTAGCTTTTGGGTGATCACTAATAGCGGTCTTTGTGGGTGTAATGAACTTGAATGTTAGCAAGTCATTTAGCTGCTCGTAGAATTCAACTAGCTCAGGTGTAGCGTATGACATTCATTTGTGGTAGACGATCTCACCCCCGATATAACATCACATGGTTTATCTGCCTAGATGGAGATAAAAACTTTGTCTAACTTTCTTATCTCCCGTCGCGGTGTTTTTATCTCGACCGCAAGGCTTGTGATGGGATTGGCTCACTCGTGCTTTCCTTTACAAATATGACAACACCGCCAAACTTGTGTTGTGACTAGTTGGAAAAAACAAGAAACAATAGTTCAACGTTAATATTATTTAAATTTCACGGACAATGAAGATTCAATTGCAAACTCGAACTCTTTTTTCATTTAAAAATAGAAAACAAGGAAAAATAAAATTTAAACCATAAAATATTTTCCATTAATCCAAAAAGCTGCCTGAATTAGAGAACTATTGCCTTCATCAATCAATTCGTGCAGCACAACATGAAGTTCAAAATGCCATTGTATGAACTCTTTCCAACATTATTGGAACTTGTTGATTTTGTTCTTGATTTCAAGTTAAACCACTTCCTTGCCTTCCCAAATCGCTTTGTTTTTTTCTCCTCCACGCTAAACGTGTAGCTTCTCAAGAACCTTTGCCTCGAATACTTAAAGATCTCATTATTCCTGTTTGTTTCAAACCCTAAAAGGGATGAACAATGCGAAGAAGAAGATGATATCTCAGTCATGTTCTTGTTTAAGCTTAGTCTTTGCAGAAACGTTGCATCTGCTTCTGCCCATTTGTTTTGGTTACAAAGCTTTGCACTTCCTACGCCTTTGATATCCATTATCATCACCTTCATATCTTTGAAGATGAAATCCAAGAACAGGGCGATGAACTCTAATATCTGCATTAAAATAAAAGTTACAAAATTTTGTATTAAAAAAGAGGGACACACAAGATATTATTGTTTGTTTTAATCAAATTTGAACATATTTTTTATTGAATAATGGTTGGATTTTGAAGAATTAAAGAGGAGAAAGAAGAACAAAAATGAAACGTAATCTAACTCAAAGTAGAAAATTAAATGTCAAATCGTGTTATAATTTTTACTAGATTCTGCTTACATGAAATTAGGGAATTCTTGATCTTTAAGATTACAAATTTAATACTTAGTTGACTGCCATTTAGCAGTCAAACCATACGATATCAAATTAATTGTGATCTTATTAAATTTGTAGATTAGAGGGGTTCATATGACTTAACAACTCGACCAACTCAAACAACCCAATCCAAAATCATAAAAGTTGAGTTAGATTGAATTAGGTTGAGTTTTCGAAAATCAAAAAATTGGATTGATTCATGCAGTGACATTATTTTGGTTGGTTAATCCAACCTTACATACTTTTAAAATTATTTATTTGTTTTCCCCCGAGAATGTTTGATATTTGAGTTCTAAAAAATCTGTCAGCACAACTTAACCCTATTTGAAAATAGAGAGTTGGACTATGAACTGTATACGAGTTGCTTAAGTCAACAACTCAACAAACACGAACATTAAATTAGTCTAAAAAATTTATCGAATCCAACCCAATCCAACCAGTATGATTTGATGCATTTGAGTGAAGGTAATTAACAAGTGATAACAAATATTTTTTTACCTTTTGCACATACAGCTTTTAACTGCTCGAGGGTTTTGCTTCTGCTGCAAACTTGTAGAACATTTTGGTACGTTGGTTCTCCAGGTTTTAGGTTGGGTATATCAAAACAGTTTTTGAGTAGCTGTGTGTTACTGCAGAATGCAAGCCCTCCTTTTATAACTTTAAAAAAAAAAAAAAAAAAAAAAAAGAAAGAAAGATACAATTATTTTCCTTGTACGACATGGATTTATCTCTTGTTTTGAAAGCAAACTTTCTTTCTTCTCCCATTATAAATTCTCAAAGATATTATTCTTTTTTTTCTTCCATTAAGGATATCAAAAAATATATATATTTGTTTTCACTAGAATAATTTTTCATTAAGATTTGTTTCCATAAAATTTTAATTTTTTTTTTCCATCTATAATCTTTTCAGATTCTTATATCTGCGTTCTTAATAATATATTTTCTATTTATAAGAAGGTATATCTAAGATTTTTCTTCTTTCCTTAAGATTAAATAGAGAGGGTTGAACCGAGCCTGTCTTGAGCCTTATTGGGTTTTAGGCATGTAAAACACGTCACCTAGGCTACCTTGGTTTAAGCCGAGTTGATTTTTAGGCAAAAACCTAAAAGTCTGTATTGATTCGCTTCCTTTCACTCAAGATTTTTTAATGAGTTAGGAAAAAAAACACATTAAACAATTAAGCAATGGAATTTCGATCATTAGAACATAAGCAAATTTTAAAAGCGAAATTTAAGAATTTTATTAAATACACGTTGGAATTAGATTTAACTAGTAGATACGTGCTTCCGGTGTTATGATTTAGAATATTTATGGAAGTTTATAGCTACTTTGAAGGGACTGATTTGATGTTGATGTGTTGATAAAGATCCAACTCCATAATAATACATTGATACTAAGATTGTTGCAGACGGAAGAGTCTCCCATGTCATAAAGTTTAGTGACAATAGGATGAAAATTGAACATACAATCCTGTTGGAGCCACCAGTATTATAACACTCGAATCATTTGTCTTGAAAATCCATAACCTTTTCAATCTTGAACTATTCAACAACTTTATGGGAAACAGAGTGATTTCAGACATTACTTTTTCCCCTTCTTCAAAACCTCCTATTATGCATTCTCCTTTCTATAATAATAATAAAAAAAAACATTACCAAACAACCAATCTTTCATGAATCCAATCAAAACAAGAATAAATACCTCTTTAGAAAGAATAATCTCTCGATTTATGTACGGAACATCGAACGAGATTTCGGAATTCGTAATAGTTACCAAAGCTATCACAAATGGAGAAATTTACAATCTTGTCACTTCATGAAATACGAGAAATAAGGAAGAGAGATTACCTCGACCAGCACATAACGTTATGACACTCGATCTAAACTCCTCTAAATCAATTGAAACAAAGGAAGTATAGTCAATTTCGCCTACTTTCTTCGGTTCTAATGGTTCCGATTTAAGTTGCCTTGTGTCCCATCGACGTTGTTGGCCTAAAACATTAAAAACGTTAAAGAATGAGAAGGGTATTGTTTCATGATCTTGAATCAAAAGAAGATAATTCTTGGAACCAAAGATTGATTCATGGAAAAAATATACTAACTATGACGCTTAAATGCAAAGGCTATGCGTTCTTGGTTAGCGAGAAGAAAGAAGACGAGTGAATAAAAACCATCGCGTTTCATATTCGAGATGATGGTAGCAACTTCGGCTATGGGGACGTTGACATAATGAAGTTGATCGCAAGAGAAACAGGAGAAGAATTGAGGCATGATTTGGAGGGCTAAAAGGGAAGGAGGGGAAGAAGCTAAGGAGATTATTATGGAGAACATGGTTGGAGAGCCTTCTAAATCGGCTGTGTCATGATCAAATCTTTGAAGAATGGAGATGACATCTGTGAAAGGTTCAAGGGAGTCAAGCATGAAGTTCAGCATGCTGTGAAGTCACCGTTTTTGGATTGTACTCAAAATTAGCATGTAAACAACTTCAAGCCTTCGCCTCATTTTTATACTCTTCATATAGCCCTCTAAATTTCTACAAATGTGTTCCTAAAAGATCAAAGTCACGTTATCAAACTCAAAAAATTTGGAGATTCTGGCCGACTAGCTTGAGAAGGCACACATCATGTAAATAAGTAGGCATTCGGTTCTTCTGAAGTAATACTTGTAGGGATTGCTAGGCACACTACCATACGAGTATACCTTGCCTTAGGTAGTTAGAATATGTCTAGTTAGGACTTTAGAGGAGTATTTTTGGATGAGAATGTACCGTATGCTATGAAAAATTACGAAAATACCCATGAGATTTTTATGATGATGTTATTTTAATGCTTTGTGCTGTGCTATAAACAAAGATGAGACATTGTGATTTGTGCTCTTAGTGATCAATGAGAGTTATCTTTCCATTGAGCTTATATGAATGTTTAGATAATGGTTATCGTGCTTTAGGTAGATGATAGAATTATCTCCCTAATCAAGCATACATGAAAATATAAGATAGCTTCAACTCTTTGTAAAGCATAGTTATTTGCATTGAGTTAAGGTTAGAGTATTAGAACTAAGCTGGTTAAACGATGATGTATATCATGACACATCTGATAAACTAGCACCTTAGGATTTTGAGAGGCAATTAGGGGCTAGACCTGCATAGACCCAAAATGATAAAAATGAGACAAGGGAATCTCTTGAATCTTCGAGACCTCCCAAATGCTTAGATAACTATAGAGATTAGGTCTGTACTTCCTAGAGCCAAAAAAAAAAAAAAAAAAAAAAAAAAAAAAAAAAAAAAAAAAAAAAAAAAAAAAAA